AGTGGCGAGCTCGCATGGGCCATGCGTTGCCTGCGCGCCGTCGAACAGAGCAAGTGGCGAGGGGCCGCTGAGGCGCGCGCCGCTTCCCTTGACACTGCGCGCGCGCGCAAGTTGGGGGTGTGTGCTCTGATCAGGAGCTTTGGGAACAGCATCAGCATGTGCACATGCGCAGTTGGATTCTCGAGTTGGCCAGGACGACGGTCTTTGATGGCATGGGGGAGGTCGAGCGAACGCAGGAGGAAGGCGACGAGCGGGGTGCCCGCCGAGGCAAGGATAACATCTTTAAGGGAGCTGCATCGCATTAGCGGACGTTCCGACGGTAGAATGAAGGCGATGGTGAACAAGGAGGGCGAGGCCCGGACTGGCATTTCAGGCATGTTACACACGTTGCACGAACATTGGTCGGAGGTCTCCCAACAAGGGCATTGACGAAGGGCTTCATGCGCGCTTGCCTGGGGGATCTGCGCCTGTCGAGCTCAGCGCCCTCGGCAGCTCGCAAACGAGACCCCCGGGGGCAGCACGGTTGGCGGCGACGCCTCCCGCCTGCAGATTCGGCCGACTGGATGATCCAGCGCGGAGATCTCGAGCTCGCCAGTCGGCGCAGCAAGCATTCTGCCCCGGGTCCGGACAGGATGCCGTGCAAGGTCTGGAAGAGCTCGGAGAAACTGGGGTGGGCCTGCTGCGCTCGGAGAAATTGGGGGTGGACCGGCTGCGGGGCGTAACGGGCGAGCTCCATCAACCGAGCTCCCTCGATGTTTTGTCAGAGGCGTACGGTGGCGAGCGCGCGTTCGCTGCCGGCATTATGGCGTGTCTTCCCAAGGTGGCGGTGGGATCCGCGCAGTGGGCATGTGCGACGCCGCGAGCGCCCGATCTTTCTCGATTGTCAACGCCGGCTACCGCTTCATTTGCAGCGCTGCTCGCCTCCGTTGGGTAAAAATCTTCAACGCTTGGGTGTCCAGCGCACAGCGGGGGTTCCTCCCGGGCCGGTCGGTGCTGAGCAACGTGGTCGAGATGGACTATGAGGCCATGAGGGTGGCCTCGAGCGCCACAGGGGCGTCATCATCCTTTTCGACTTTTCGGCGGCCTTCCCGCCCATTGCGCAGGCTCCATGACGCGCGCGTTACGGTGGCTGGGCATGCCGGAGCGTCTGCCCCGGTTCATGGCCACCATCTACGACCGAACATTTGCGACGATTCGCGCGGCAGGTGGTGAAGGATCTCTTTTCTTCATGACGCGGGGCATTCGGCAAGGTTGCCCCTTGCCCCCCCTGGCGTTCGCCGCGGTCGTTGACGCATTGTGGAGGCGCTTGGAGAAGGTCCTCTGCATCCGCGGCGCGCCGAGAGCCTTCGCGGACGACGCCGCCAGCGCGTTGGCGCGTTGGCTGACTTGTTTTCTTCTCTTCCCCGCGCGGCCCGCATATTCGAGGAGTGGGCCGCTTGAACTTCGTCAAAACAGCAATCATTCCATCGCGGCGCCCAGCGGAGGTCAGTTGCGACGAGATCGCGACGCTCCTCGCGACGATCGGCGGTGACTGGGCCCAAGTGCGCGCCCAGACCCTTTTGGGAAGTACCTGGGCTTCCATGTCAGCCAATTCCGGAGCGACGCAGTGCGGGGCAAGGCAATGATCATATGGGGGCGCCGAGTGGCCGATTGGAGCGGGAAGGGCGCTGGTTTGCAGTGCGGCGCCATGGTTTACGCTGCATTGCGTCTCAGCACTGCGCCTCCTTGCCCAAGTGGCACGTATCCCAGCAACGTTCCTGGAACAGGAAGAAACAGTCATGCTCAGATTGCCGAGGGGGGCCCGGCGAATGGGGTAACTCTTCAAATTTGCGGCGCGTGGGCCATCGGCGTGGAGCGGGCCATTCATGCCATTGTGTTCGAGCGGGGGGCGCCGCTGCCATGTTGTGCGCCTTCGATTTCGAGAGTTGGGGGCGCCCCGTTACGGTGGCCGGCTTGGAATTTCGACAACGGTTGGCCTCGCCCTTCAACGGCGATCGCGTCGTGCAGTGGCACGGCTGGCACTGGCAATCTTTCGCGTTCCAGCTGGGGGCCAATCGGGGAAAGCTGAGGGCGCGCGGGGTCCACGCGGGAACTATCAAGCAACAACTCAACGCGGGCGCTGGCGCGAACGAGGGCAGGACAACTTTGCGAAGCGGCTTCCAAGACGAGGTTGCGACAGCGATTCCCCCTCAGTGCCTAGAGCGACGGGGTGCGCGTCTACTCCGCAAGTTAATGGACACATGGGACCTGCCTGGCAACCGACACGGTCACCGCGACCGCGTGGAAAGTGCCCTTCGGCGTCTTGGTAAATTGGTGGCTCCGTGAGTCGCCTCTGCAATGTGGGGCTCGACGTGGAATCGCCGGCGCACGGCGCGCTGCTTCCGGGCCGCGGCCCGCGCCAGCTTGGATGCGGGCGCAGGCGCGACAGCCTCGCGCATTACATGGGCTGCTCCATCGGCAGGGGCGCTGGGCGTCGCCCCGCGCGGCTGGAAGGCGATTTCTGGTGCCGGAAGCGGCGCGTGCAGGGGGCGTGCAACTACAGCAGCGATTCAGAATTTACGCGTTGGGCTATTTGAGCTTCCGGAATCTACGCGACAACGAACGGGAGAATATTCGGGCAAATTGCGGGCACCACTCCCGAGCATGCCGTCCAAGAAGCGATGCAACACTGCTGGCGCACAGTCGACGGCCGTGGCGCGTCGAGTCGGTGCTTGAATGCTCTTTGGTCCGTTCCTAGTGCAACGGTTTGAGGCCGCGCTGTTTGTTTTGGGCGACTGGTCTCAAGCCTTTTCTTGCCAGCGCCTTCCTCTTCTCCCCCCCATCTCTTTGCCCCCCTCGCCCCACCTCGCCCCCCGCCCTCATCTGTTTTCCTGGCGGTGCTGGATCGCTTCAGGCGCGCTTTTTCACGGCGCCACCAGTGGGCCGCCCAGCTTCCCTGGCGCAGCGTCGTTCGGTGGCACTGTCCTGTGTGATCCGACGCGTACGGACCAGGAGGTTCATTAATTGAGCATGGCTGCGTCGCGCTGCGGTGGGAGGGAATAGAAGAAGACTCGCCGCACCAGTTAAGAGTTCAAACCCGTCTGTCGGAGCGGCCGCAGCTCAGCCCGCCTGGGAAATCGATGCGCCTCCGCCCTCGATCCCTCCTCTTCCTCCCATCCCTTCGCTTCCAGGGGATGAGCTCAGTAATCCCAATCGGGCACACGTGTGGCACAAGTGGGGCAAAGGCTGGCTCTGCACGGCATGCCGACAGCGGTGTGCGAGCGATCGTATTTTGAAGAGACGCGAGGAGGAGCATTGCCGTGGATGGCGCCACAGTGGGCTGCTGGCCAATCCGCGGGGCCACCAGCCGTGTTTTTCGGGTATATTGATGGCAGGCCTTCGAACATATTTTTGTGTTGGAAGTGTGGCTTCCTCACGGAGGGAGGCTTGGCGCTCCAAGTTGTTTGCCCCGAGTCCCCCTTGCAAGCGGTCGCGCGTTGCAACGTCAGCGTGCTCGGGACGGGAGGCACCCGAAACGTTCCGCGAGCTCGCCCATCATGTTGAGGAAGCCAATCCCGCTGGCCGAGGTGGCGAAGGAATTGGCCGAAACGAGGTCCATTGCAAAGTGCAGTAGGCAATTTTCAGACAAGCGGGCTATCCCCCAATCCGCGTGCTTGTCCTCCTCCTCCTCTTCCTCCTCTTCCTCCTCCTCCTCCTCCTCCTCCTCCTCCTCCTCCTCCTCCTCCTCCTCCTCCTCCCCATTCCCCCCCTTCTCCTTCTCCTCCTCCTTTTCCTCCTCCCCCCCCCCCTTTTCTTCCTCCTCCTCCTCCTCCTCCTCCTCCTCCTCTCGCCCTGCGGCGAGTGAGTTCGGGCTGACGCCATCCCGTCCTCCTGTTGAGTCCCTTGTGGGTTCCATGTGACGTTGGCCGGGTCCGTCACTTCGTGGATGCCGGGGGGGCGCGCGAGGCGTTGCCGACGCAGTCCCGAGAAGAATGGGCGCTAGATGCACGGCCATGATGTGTTCCCTGGTTTCGCTGGCGCTCCCGTGCTGGATGTGTCCCCTGACGCTGCCACCGAGCAGGCATTCGCCGACGACTTGGCGTCTGCTGGCGTTCTCCCTGAGGGGCCGCCGCCGCCAGGCCCCCCGCCCCACCTGAGCATACCGAGACCCACAAGGATTGCATGCGCGAGTATCGTGCTGCGGAGCAGGTGCGCCAGGCTGCCAAGCTGCAAGTTTCCTGGGCTGCAAGGCATGTGGAGTTGGCCCCCTCGATTGCCTTGGGCCTCCGCTTACCAGCCTGGAGCATATCCCTATCCCTATGCTGGGCATCTCCTCATCACGATGCCAATCTTAGGGTTTCCCTTATTTTTTGAGGGCGCATCCCCAAGATTGTCATCGCTTTTTGGCATGTCGATCTTAGGGATAGGGATATGTTCGAGGCTGGTAATATGAGGGTCGTGGACGACGTCGGGGTGGTGTGGTGTATACTTATTCCCCCGCTTTCCCGGGGAAGCGACGAAGATTGTGTACACCAGGATCCCGTGTGCACCAGGATCCGCTTTCCTGTGCGGGATTCAGCGTGAGGCCAGACAGAGGCGTCGGCGTAACTATAGAGTTCGGCTCCTTACACTGGTTCTCGGGGCGAGGGTCTTCAGCACGAAGGCGCTCAGACTGCTGCAACGCCGAGACCGACCGACCGCCCTGCGGGGTGCGCCCGCAGCCAGGCTGGCCGTGCGGGTGGTGGCGGCTCCACTGGAGGCTGGGACAGGGGCGGATAATGAGCAGGAGGAGGAGGACGAGGAGAGGAGGAGGAGGAGGAGGAGGAGGAGGAGGAGGAGGAGGAGGAGGAGGAGGAGGAGGAGGAGGAGGGGGAGGGGGAGGGGGAGGGACGAGGAGAGGGCGGGTTGGAGGGAGGAGGGGTGTAAAGGGGGGGAGAGGGGCGAGGGGGGGAGGCGTGCAGAGCGGGGAGGGGGGGTGCGCTGTCGATGCTCTCGCTCCGTCTGCCCCGGCTCCTCCGGAGGGACCGTGGTTTTCAACTACAAGCGGCCGGGCGAAGACAAGTGGAAGTTTCGCAAGGATGCGTTCGTCGACATCGGCGTGGAGGCGTGCGCCTGGACAGATCGGGGGCGGCAAAGAGGGGGGTGATGACCAGGGGGGGGTGGATATCATGGCGTGGGCCATGATATCTCCCCAGATTCCATGGCGCCTCTTCTTGTTTCATTACGTCCCTGGCCTCCCCGCTGGGCCGCGCACATGCCGCTGGTCATGATTTGCACCCCCCCCTCTTGGACACCCCCCTCTTGGCCGCTCCCGAGACAGAGGAGGAGAATGTTGGCGAGGCGGAGGAGCAGGAGTGCGAGGAGGAGTGCAGGAGGGGAGGGAAGAGAGGGGCGGCGGAGGATGGGCAGGAGGTGAGATTCGATCGAGGCGTTTAGCAGGCTCCGAGCACCTGCAGTCGTGCTCAAGTGCGGGAAGCTCGTGCCAGCTCGATGGACATCGACAGCGCGGTGCTTTCGAACATCGCTTTGCATCAATCGAGATCCCGAGTGACGTGCCAAGGTACCTGCATGATCGTCCAGCTCACGTCACCGTACGCGTCTACAGACCCGTATGCTGGCTCAAGTTCCAATGTTCACCGGACGTTTCAAGGTACTGACGACTGTAAGTATCCCTGTCTCCCTCCATGCCTTCCTCCTGTCATGAATGCCCGTTTCGTTTGCTATTCTCTTTCTGTCGGAGACGCGTACGGCGAATCACCGCCGCCCCCTGCCTTTTGTGATTGCCCATGTGGCCGAGCGGCCCATGAATCTTATGGATTGCCTCGGGAGTCCAGTTGATTTCCCAAGGGATCTCATGAATGTCCTAAGGGGTCTTCTGGATGCCTACGGTGTCCTGCGGATATTCTCAGGCACCCTGCGTATTTCCTAAGGCATCCAGTAGATGTCCTCGGGCATCCTATGGATCTCCGAAGGGTTCCTTTGGATGTCCGAAGGGTTCTTATACATGTCTTCAGGAGTCCAATGGATGTCCTGAGGCAGCCCATGGCTGTCCTGAGGGCTCCTATGGATTTCCGAACTGGTCCTATGGATGTCCGGTGGTTGCTTCTTGATTTCGTAATGCATCCCATGGATGTGTAGCAGGAGTCTCAGTGCTGCCCTTAGGCATCTTATGGGTGTCCTGAGGCATCTCATGGATTGCCTAAGGCATCCCACCGATTTCCTAAGGCGTCCACTGGATTTGTTCAGGGATCTTATCGATATCCTTAGGCACTCTACGGATTTTCAAAAAAGGTCGTATGGATGTTCTACGGGGTCCTACGGATTTCACTAGGGAGCCAATCGATTTTCCAAGGACTCCCATAGATGTCCGAAGGACTCCCATGTATGTATTAAGGAATCCCATGGATGTCCGATGGGTTCCTATGGATTTCCGAAGAAATCGTTTGGATGTCCTAAGGGCTCCTATGGATTTCCCCAGGAATCCCATTGATTTCTTCAAGATCCCAATGGGTTGCCAAAGGGATCCAATGGCTTTCTTTCGGGTTCTCGATTTCAGAAGGAATCATTCAATTTTCGTATTTAATCCCATACATTCCCTGAGGGGTCCAATGGATGTCCTAAGGAATCCATTTTCTTCCTTAGAGGGGTCCCTATGGATTTGCAAGGGAATATTATGGGTGTCCGATAGTATTCCATATAATGCCTAAGGAGTCCTATGGATTTCCTCAGGGATCCCATGGATTTCGTAAGGAGCCCGATGGATGTCCGATGGAGTCCCATGGATTTGCAAAGGAATCCTATGGATTTATGAAGGAATCCGATGGATGTCCGCAGGATTCCTATAACACCCTGGAAGAAGCCAATGCATTTCCGAACGACTCCTATGGATTTCCTAAGGAAGCCGATCGATACCCTAGGGATCTTATGGATGGCCAACGGATTCCTATAGATTTCCAAAAGGGACCGCATGGGTTTCCCAAGGCGATCTATATAACTCCGGAGGATATCCGTAATATTAATCATGGACAGGCACAAGGGTCTTCACGTAATCCATAATATTGCAGGACATCCACACCAGGAAATCCATGGGATTCTTCAGGACATTTACAGGGTTTCATAGGGAATCCATCGGCATCTTTGAGGAATCCATCGGGTTCCGTGGGACATCCATCGGATTCCGTTGGAAATCATTAGCAATCCTTAGGAACCTTTGCTACTCGTCATAAGAAGAGAGCAATTTCGATTCGCAACGTTCCCCCGCGATAATCAAGTTCGACCTTGCCGCCCCCCTTCCCTGATCAAATCTGTATTGGCCGCGGATACTCATGGCTCAGCGGTTTAGGGGGGGCTAACAATGTTTATCCGGCGGTTCTGGGTTATTTGGACACACCCCATTCACAGCATGCGCCCTGCCCACAGGGATCTCCACCTACGGCACCAGCGGGAGGGCCCGCATGTGTCACCCCCCCACCTATTTCGGCACACCCCTCACACAAGCCTTTTCCCACAGGGAGCTCCACCTACGGCCCCAGTGAGTGGGTCCGCATGCCCCCCGCCCCCGCCTGTTTGGGCACACCCGTCACAAGGGCCGTGCCCATAAGGAACCCTTTTTCTGGTCCCAGCGGGAGGGTCCGCATGATCGGCGCAGATTGGTGCACCCCGCACACGGTCGCCAGACTGATGTTCCTTTTCGTGTTCTTTCTCTTGCTCCGTATCGCTCCTCCTCTCCTGATCCGGTGTGCTGTGGTCGAAGGACTGCTGTGTGTACATTCGGCCCTGATTCGTAGGTCGACCCGGCCAAATCGAGGGTACCCTTGTGTCCTGTGTTTCGCGACCCATGCCTCCTGCATTCCTCAGGAGGGAAAAAACACACAGACACAATTAATCGTCGACCCCCAGGAAAATATAGGAAAATATGGGAAGTGCGGGGGGAAGACAGAAACCCAGAACATATGGGAAAATATTTGGAATCTTTTTATTTGTGTGTATTATTTGTGTGTCCCTGGGCCCCTTCAATTCCTATTGCAACGTGGCCTTCGGAATGGTCTGTCTTCTCGCGTGCGTTCTCCAATCGGGTCCGACTGCGGGGGCTCGCGCTGGGAATCCTGCTGCGAAGGGGGCCAGGGCGGCCGGGGCATGCCGGATGGGCGGCGGCAGGCCTTGGCCTCCCCGAAGTGATTCGGGGGTGGACAGAACCCCCAACAGTGACACGTCGATTTGTGAATTGTCCGTTTTCGGTTCTCGAGAGGGCGCCGCGGCCGTTATTTTCCAGGCTTGCGCCCGCCAGGTTTGGGCCTCAGGTCGTTTTCACTAAACCACGTTTTACTAAAGGGGGTCTGTCCATCCCCGAAGTGACGCCTCCGACGTTTCCAGCGCTCCGCGTGGCGAAACGCGTATGAGTCGGCGGCGAACGAGGGGGGGAATGTGAGAGAAGGGGTGGGTTTTCTCAGAAGGCCCGGAAGTCCCCCGGCCTTTGAGAAGTTTCCTAAGTTTTCCCCGAAAGCACGGAAAATTTCTCAGAAGGTGCGAGGGTTTCTGAGAAGTCTCGCCCGCTTTCTGAGAAGGCCTTCTCCTTCTCATTTCCTCACCTCGCTCGCCGCCGAATGAGGGAAGGAAGCAGGGCGTCGGGCAGGGTGGCGTATTCTTGGGACAGGTGAGGCGCTTCGAGGTGGCGAAGCTCTGCGTTTGTCGCGGGTGCTTGTGAAAACCGTGAGTTCGCGCGCGGGAGTGCTGCTGATCGAGGACACACCACTTGGATTGCGAAGAAAATCGAGTATTGGATAAGTTCGAACGTTTTGCCAATCAACGGTGTCGCTCGAACGGAAAAATTGGTGTCCCATTTTTTGCGGGCCCATGAGATGTCTTCCTCAGATGGGGGAGGTGATCGCCGCGCTAGACGACGAGAAGCAGGACATGCTGCAGGTCATCAAGGCAAAGAAGGTGCCGCCAGCCCACTCTCCTTCGGTGTGTGTGTGTGTTGTGTGTGTGTTGTGTGTGTGTGTGTGTGTGTGTGTGTGTGTGTGTGTGTGTGTGTGTGTGTGTGTGTGTGTGTGTGCGCGTGCGCGCGTGCGAAAGCGAGAGAGGATGTGTGTGTGTGTTTGTTTCAATTTGTGTGGTTGTCAGAGAGAGAGAGAGAGAAAACAAACAAACAAAAAAAAAAAAAAAACTACGCCCGGCGGCTGCCGGCGGCGGGCCGCCGCTGCAGGCGCCGCCAGCAGCGCCGCAGGCCCCGCAGCCCCCGCGGCGCCCACCTCGGCAGCCCGCGGCGGCGGCCGCCCAGGCGCTCTTCGGCGGGCGATCCTGGAGGGCCCACGCCGCCTCGCAAGGGCCAGGCTGGGTAGCCTGCCTGCAGTGCGGCTGCGCGGCGCCGGGGTGGGGGGCCCTGGCTGCTCGCCCATGCGCAGGCTGGGCGCCCGCCTTGCCGCCGCGCGTGGGCGCGCTGCTCCCGCCGCCGCTGGCGCGGGCCGGGGGCGGCGAGGGCGCTTGGCGGGAGGCGTTGCGCGCCCGCCTGGCCGCGCGGGCGGGCGCGCATGAGGCGCCGAGCTAACTCGGTGCAGCGGCTGCCCCCCCTCTCCTCCCTCCCTCTCCCCTCCTGCCTTCTTCGTCGCCACAGGGCCCCCTTTGCGCTTGTGAAAAAGTGGTGGTGGTTTGTGGTGGTGGTGGGTTGTGGTGGCGGCGGTGGTTTGTGGAGGCGGTGCTGCGCGCAGTGCATCCGACGCCGGCGCGCGCGGCACATCCGACAGCAGCGCGCGCAGCGCATCCGACACTGGCGCGCGCAGCACATCTGACAACAGCGCGCGCGCGCAGTTTTGCAAAGCGCACTCGCGCGACATGTGCGTGGAAGCGGCGCACTGCAGAGTATCGATGGCATGTTGCGGCGGATGTTTTTCGACTGCACCTGCGATGAGTGACTCGGGGGCGCGCGGAGGGAGTTGCGCGACCTCATCTGGCGCAATTCCGACGGAAGTTTACGGACCGTATCTTGCATCGGTGGGCATGCACAGCCATGGCCAACAGCAGTTGCACGCAGCGGCCCAACCACCATTCCCACCCACACCCACTATCGACAGCAATGCTGGTTTCTCAGTTGCCCCCTCCACGAGTCCAGCAACGACTTCAACAATCAGCTGGCGAAATCAGCCAAGCACGATAGAACCAGGTCCGAGACTCACGCGCAGCACGCCTGTTACGACCTCATGCAGGATAGCTGCCAAGAGGCATGGGACATGCATCCCGTGCCGCCACTGGGAAAACGGACGGTGCACTCGAAAGGAATGCAGTTTCTGCCTCCGCGACCCTGGTACCACGCTCCAGCACACAACGCCGCAACAGAGCATGCACCACATGAAGGCTCCGACTGTGCCTCCCAGATGGCAGGATCCGAAAGCTGACCCTGGGCCCCCTTTAAACACAAGATCATTGGAAATATTATGACAAATCCTAGCCAATCTTTGAGTGGGAGGAGGATGAGGAGGTTAAGCAACCACATGTGCAACCACAGAGTGTCTAAAACCACTTAGAGGCCAAAATCAACGACATGGACGACGGACTCCTGGCTGATACCGCCGCTCGCCGGAACCTCGCAGGCCAGAACCCCATCGACCGTCAGAGCAAGGTTGAGTACCAGCACGGATTCAAGACTACTTGGACTATTTCGGTTCAGCCGCGGAAGATGAGCGGAGAAGGAAAAGGAGCACAGACAGTACGACGTGCAGCCACGGTTCACGGAGTCACTGGGGAGGGCGACCTCATTTTCTATTTTGCTTCAGTCTTGGAGGACGAGGGCGCCGACTTCCCAGCCATTTATGGCGTAGGCCCCATGGCCGGGAGGAACACCTACGTAGGCACGACAACCGGCAAGCCTCACATGATCCCAGCAGGCATGAATGACCAGATCATGTCGCCAGACGGCACGGAAACCATAGAGTACCAGAAGTCAAGATCAGGACACTGGGTGAGCCGATCTCCAGGTTGCACAATTTCAAGAAGGGCAGCAAGACGGTCGAGGCATTTCCGACGAACGTCGGGGTGTCTAAACAGTTTTGACACACACACCAACGCTGGGTGCAGAGGGTGAGCGGTATTCAGCGGACGCGAACAACAGGCCACCCACCTCGCAGCCAGTAAAAATGTTGGCCGCACGACCGCCCGCAGCAGCCGCGACAAACCCACGGCAAATTGAAAAGTTTGCCAACGAACCACCAGCACGAATTAACATGCCAAACGTATTTCTGGTTGGAGAGCGGCTGGCAACGGTGAGAATGACGATGGCTAAACACGGCCCCTTTCCTTCCAGCGCGTGCCCCATGCTTCAATTCCAACGGGAACATGCATCTCCAGACGCTTGCACAATGTTTCAAACCATTCATATCATTCACAGCTCCTTTGGATTTGGCCATACCACTTGCAAGAATCAGGGCGACGAACACAGGTGCGCGCGGCTTTGGGATTCTTTGCGGAAGTGGTTGAACAGCAGTTGCGTTACGGGGGAGATGTAATCTTGGAAGCCAAAGCGTGCGATGCCCATGTCAGAGACGAGCTCCTCGCAGGAGCGACCGTTTAGGAGCGCAGCTGGGGCCGCCTACTCGAGCGCATTTGTGTGCCTTGGGGGTCATGGGAGGATGAGATAATAATGCGTTAGTATGCGGTGAACACCTCGTCGTGTCAAACAAACCATGGCAACGCGCGCTATGAACGCGTTTTAGACAGAGCTCGACGCGCGTAACCAACGAAGGGACAGGGCACGAGCAGTTCGTGGAAATTGTCGCGCAACATCTTCGACTCATCGGTTCCTGCCCATTCAAGCCAACCAACGCGGAAATGCACCGCGTCCAACGCCAATTCAAGAAGAAAGCGTGAGCACGAGATTACGTCCAGCATCATCGACAGCACCAGACAACCAACGACGACTGCACCGACAGAGCGGGACTTGAACAGTTTCCGCTTCGCCGAGACGCAGCAACACCACCGACTCAGACAGTCACTTTCCGCGGCGCACAAGTACGCGCCTACCGCGTCGACCGAGCGACGTCCACAGCCGACCTCCACAAACCATCATTAACCCCATCACCGCTGTCATCGCCCGCATCTCATGACTTCTCTTCCTTTCCCACCGGTTCCCACGAACGAGCGAAAGCGAACAAGGCAAAACAGGAAAAGGACAAGACACCAGAGAATATAAGGCCATGAAGAAAAAAGAAAAACACAGGAGCAGGAGCTACCCTTCGACGACTGCGACAGCGATCCGGATCCGTTGATGGACAGCGAAGCGATCACTGCCCTTGCAATGACCGGCCCGCGCGGCAGCTCCTTCTCGTTTGACAGCAGTGGAATGGAAACGTTCCCCAGCTGCGGTGATGTTCGCGCTGGAGACGTTGACAGTCATTTCCTCGATCCAGAGTTTTCGCTGAGCTACATGAGCGAGGCAGAGGGCGCCGAGAATTGGCTTAGACGACCATCCAGTGGAGAGCACGTGAAGCTTGGGAATCTCACCAGTTACTTGTCCAGGGAGGAGAGAAGAGGAACCGACCTCCTGGAGATCTGCGGCGGCGCAACCGGTGAGGCGAAAACTGCAGCCAGGTGGCGTCTGACAACCTGACAACAGGGGCCGTCTTGGACATCGTGACAGGATCTGATTCGACGAAGGACCACAGTACCGATCAGCTCTTGGAGTACTCGTCCACGCACGAGCCCCAAGTCGTCGCCGCGGCACCGCCGGCCGCTGACCGCGCAGATACCGCCCGAACCAGACAGACACTTGAGAACATAGCCACTGCATGTGTGCCGGTGGCTACGAGTCAGTCGGAAGGCGGCAGACATTTTGTTTTGGAAAGCCCACGGGATTCGGATATCTTTCGTTCGCCATCCGTGCGTAACGTCACGTACCGATCCCAGATCGCACGGGCTACTTCTCCGCAGTGCGCCGTCGAGTTGGCCAGCCCAGACGGGCTCCCCACGCAGAGGTGGGCGACGCTATTGGCGAGCACCAGAAGCATGATTTCGGACTTCTCTTCGCTCCGTTACACCCGCAGAAAACGTCGGTACCTGCAGCCGCCGCGAACAAGTCGCTCAAGGCGCGGTGCGCCCAGGTGCGGCCAGAAAGCCTGCGTCGCGCGATTGTTAACGGGACCTTGCGTGTATTGCGCCGAGAATCCGAACGTTTCTTCCCTGCGCTCAACAGGAAACAACCGGAAGAGGCTGTCTTCGACTACCCCAGGTGCAACGGGCGCAGACCATGCCACCACCCAATCCACGCTCGACGAGTTGAGCTTCCAGAGCTTTGCAGGTGCTGCGAAAAAATCCCAGCCCGGGGCCAGAATCCTCGCGAGGGTCGTCGTTTTTTGGCCCTCCCAGGGGTCAAAAAAGACCCCCCTGACGACGCCCCGGACTCCCTGTCCAGGTCCAGGGGGAGGGGGTAGGGGGAGGGGTGAACCCCTCCCCGAAGGGGAAGACGGGGGGTTGAGGACAGAGAGAGCTCTCTAAACCACTCACGCCCAAAGGGCTGGTGGGACTCGTTCGGGCTCCTCGTGGTGTGAGTCGTTCGGGGCCCGCGTCGTGGTGTGAGTCGTTCGGGCTCCTCGTGGTGCGAGTCGTTCGGGCGCCTCGTCCTGGTGTGAGTCGTTCGGGCCCTTCCTTGTGGTGTGAGTCGTTCGGGCTCCTCGTGGTGTGAGTCGTTGGGGTCTCTCGTCCTGGTGTGAGTCGTTCGAGCTCCTCGTGGGGCCTGTTGGGGGCCTCTTGGAGCCTCTTGGGGCGTCTTGGGGGCCTCTTGGGGGCCTCTTGGGGGCGTCTTGGGAGCCTCTTGGAGCCTCTTGGGGCCTCTGGGGGGCCTCTTGGGAGCCTCTTGGGGACCTCTTGGGGCCTCTGCCTGGCAAGCGCGCCGCGCCGACGTCTCGCACACGCAGGTGGCAGGTGATTGTCTTGCACCAGATTCGATGTGCAGA